AATATTCATCAGGTGTCTTTTAAATTTCTTCAGCCATGTTTTATCTTGGAGCTTTGTACTGAATACTAAGCAAGAATGCATTTTTCTTGTACTGCGTGCAAAGAGTTTGACATCCTTCACTATCTGAGCTGTCACAGGAACACTGATAACCCCTGTTTCTGTTTCTCACAGCTAGATTGTTCAAACAGCATGATGTGTGTCACCAGCGCGGCCCTGATTAGTGGTGCTGTGGTTCAGTCTGTGAATCCTGATTACTGCTTCAACTGCTGCTGCAATGTTTAGCTGTTCACAGATCTTCCTGTGTCTTTGTTAGTCTTTGTGGGAAGTTTCACAATCACATTTTCTTTTTTTAAGTTCCTCTTGCAAGTTTTTTCCACGTGAAGCCATGATGAAGACATGCAAACAAACACAACCCAAAGTTAAGAAGGTTCTGGTGCTCACAGATGATTTCATACCTGTTTCCAAGCAGTTAGGCTGATTGAAAATCACAGATGTAGTCAGTTTAGTTTCAGGTTTTCACTTTTGTTGCATTAAATTTCTACTTTGGGAGCTGTGTTTACAATATAGTGTTCCTAAAGCATCTTGTTTTTGATTGTTCATAAGACAAACACTCACATGTCGGCTCAAAAATAATGCAGCTATTGTGAGAGTATTAAATTCTTACTTCTGTTGCACACTGTAAATGCCGAGATAAAATGAGATGTCAATAAAAGGGGTTTCCCAGTCGTAAATGTCACATTTAAAAGCCGTAAATTTGTAATTAAGTTAACTATAATGTGGCGTGAACACAGCTCTAATGCTGATCTTTCATTTATCTGATTTTAGCACTAAGTCGTCTGTACTGTTGGGAATGCAGTGATCTTGTTATGCATTTTTACAATACGTTTCTGTGTGACTGTAATTGAATTTGTGGTCCAATATGTTTTCACAGTTGCACAATAACGACTGGAGCAGCACGGCAGCAAGAGGATCCTGGGTTCAAACATGCCTGCGTGGATTTTCTCTACAAAGACAAGCATGGTAGGTTAGCTGTAAGTGTGAGCGTGCATCGATTCTCTTTTTCTGTTGGCCCTGCGATGGGCTGAAGGCTGAGACGAGCTCCAACCCCGGACAGGATAAAGCTGTTATAACTAATGGATGCAAAGTAGACCTTTCCTGTCGTTAGCCTTTGTTGGAATGTGTTTAGATCACTGCATAACTCAAACAATTTCAGCTTAATGTTCATACCGTAATTCAACTCCAAACATTCAGCCTCACAAACAACTACAGTTACACATTTAAGCTGATACTAGGTTGGCCTGTTGGCTAAACCACTCCTCGGCGTACAGATAATTCTCTCAGCCTAATAGGATTTCAACTCTAATGCACATCCTCAATCCTCAACAATTTGCGGCCAAGAGCAAAGCACATGTAGCGATTGTCTGCCTGTAAACACCAGTGCTTCCTTGTCCGTGATGCCGCTCAGAAAGCAAACATGTTTAGGGATTAAAGAAGTGGTTTCTGTGGTCGGCCTACTCAGACGGTGAATCCCTCCCCAAAGCCGCGATTTGTCTGCAAAAACCTTTGTTTCGGTGTTTTTGTTGCTTTCTGAGTCACGGTCTTGGTTGCTCCTCCTTGATGCCTATGTAAGGTCCTTTCAT